CATCGTCGAGTAGCAAAGGGCGCCATGATGGGTCAAAATTATCAAAGGCTTCCCTGGATACTATATTGCCATTGTCAAGAGTAAGTTGAGCCAACTGGGTACCCTTAGCACCTGCCTTAAGGCTAAGAGGAATCTAAATGTCGATGGCATGAGAAAAAGTGGCATTAAGCAACAACTATAACAACCATAAAGGGCCCCCGATCTGAAAATTGGTGGCCCCTCGCCTGAGGTCTTCAGACGCGTGTCTCAGTGATTCATAAAGACTCACCAATATTAGTCTGCTAAGAAAGACATTCACCCCCTCATGAAGGCGGGTATCTAGAGATATGTACATCTTGGTGATATGAAACCCCAAGGGTAGAAGATTTAACGACATAACTAGTAGGTCAAAAAGGCTATATGTTTGTGAGCACCAAAGATATCACCAGAGCCCTAGTGCTCTTTGATGAAGGTACTATAAGCATGGCTTAAAATTTTAAAATCGATATCAGCAGAAGGCAAAAAGGGTGTGAGTAACCATCCTATAAGGCAGTTGGAAGGTGTTAATAGAAATTCCTAGAAACAAATCATTGCGAGCAACATGGCAGGGTTGCATTTGAGGCCCATCCTAAAGAGTTGAATAAGATTGTAGGTCCCTTGTTCTTCCCACACGGGTCTTTTTTACGTTTCCACCTAGTCTAGCCAAATAATATAAGTGGACTTAGAAGCCCTAAAAGAGGGTAAAGAGCATAATACTCATCTTTGCAGAAACCCAAGGTTAAAATAGGAACCTTTGAAAATCACGGGGCCCTAATTTTGCTTCAGACAACTGGGAAAGAAGTCGTCAAAACACTCTGGCAGTTTAGAGGCTTCGAGGATAGGTTCCATGAAAGAAAAGATGGTACCCGCGACTGAATACAGAACCAATAGATTCATATACCAAGGAAGTCTCAGAGCATCTTCTAGAGGTGGTTCCCGAACATACATTCGATCATTGGCTAGAATAAGTTCGTCAAGAACAACAAAAAATGGAGGGTGGTTGTGAATGAGACGTTCGAGTTTCGTTTCTTGGGTCGAGCAAGATGACAAATTTGTAACGGAAAATGGTGGGTGACACTTTTTAGGGTTCCATTTTCATTGGCTTCAGAGATGAGAATAAGGAAAGAAAGCAGATATTGGAAGAAGTATAGGCTTAAATAGACAAAGAAAAGGCGGTGAAGAGTTTCTCCCAGAAACATGGACAAATGGCATGTTTGGAGCCAATGAGCAACCTCGAAGTAGGGAAAACTATGATTAATAAAATCAAAAGTAAAATCTCGAATCCCAATTTAGTGGCTAGTTAATGACCTTGGACTTCAGGGTAATGATGTACTGACGTTCACACGTTTTAAATACGTATCGTGTGGTGGAAATTTAGTCATAATGACTGACAAAAAGCATGATTGAGGTGACATAAAATAGAAAGGGAACAATTTTATTTACAACAAGCATGATTTAGGATATAGAATAACATGTCCTTTTTCCTTTGCTTTATTTAATGTTATTTACTATATTTTACCTTATCATTTATCACAACTTGACTTTATATAAAGTCTTCTGCTACGGTGCATTCAAATCACATGCATGTGTGTTCACACAAATTATTTGCACATATTGCTTTGGAGATTTTTCGAGTTAATCTTATAGACTTTCAAACTTGTGATTGTTTACTAAAAACATCGATAAACAACCATGTCGCTGACTCTCTCTAAGCATTGGACCACGTCACTGGCACTCTTTGAGCCATAGTGCCAGCCGATTAGGTTTTCATTGTTCATTTGATGTTGAATCTAATGATTTCCTGCTGCTGAGTTTTACTGATTAGGTTATGTTGATGTTTTTATTCTATGGTGAAGGATGTGTGACACCCTGATCATATAGTTTTATTAAAAAAAATTATTAATTGTCGAGTCACGATTAGAGTGTTACACACATGCGCGCGACACACACTTACACACAATAATTTGCAAAACTCATCTAATTTTAAAATGTTCTAAAAATGGATGTCGGTCTAAAGCAAATCGATTATGAAGCAAAAGCTCAGTATTATTTATTATAACATGTGCGTAATCGATTATGGAGCAAACTTGCCCTATAGTCAATTAAAAACCCTCTTAATTAATAAGACTCCAAACTTGACCATTTTATTTCTTAAAAAATCTAGGTTTAGATGATTAGCAAAGAAGGATAATCGAAATGTAAAGGAGGATGTGTGTTCACTTGTACAACACAAGAAATGTGATATTGTACTCTTATTTGTTACTCATTCTCTTCTTAGAAAGATTTTCATACACTTAATATCATTTTAGTGCTAAGAGAGCATAAAACTTAAGTAAGAAATATGTAATTGTTATTTGAATTAGATTATGTTGTAGTAATAAATCAATAGTTTCATTATCTTATCACTTTAATATTTCTATAAATATTGCAAGCCAAACTTGGGTAATATCTTATTGTATAAAGCTTTGTGGATGATCCTATGATAAAAGCTCAAGTTGATATTGAAGCTCTTTAGGAGAAACTCTTGGATGACTTGAGTAGGCTATGTAGTTTAAGGCTAAACCAATATAATCCTAGTGTGCATTCTTATCTCTTCTATTTTGTTTTCATGTTATTTATCTTTCGCACTAAATTATCGGCTTCATCTTCTTTCTTAAAATTAACCAAGTAAAAAACATCATTTTATATAAAAAGGATTCAAAATTATCTATCATAATTTACCCTCTTTTGTGTTTGAATTCATTTGATCAGTAAAACGATGTCTCATTGGCAATAATTGAAAACATGACGGTTGTAAACCGCCATGGACGATAGCATCCATAAGATACCTCTAGAGTTATTGCAACATGAAATTTCCATATGCATTGCAATCTCTGTTGGAATCATCTCCATCTTTTCATATACGAGAATGAGCTTCACATTATATTGTTAGAGGTTGAAAATGTTCAACAAAAACTTGTTGGCATTTAGAGTTCCTAACATATCTTTGAGATGTTAGAGAAGATGAAATGACGGGAGAACATAAACGTGAGGGTACAGCGAAAAAAATATTAGGTTAACGAATGGAGCAATCTTTAGATGGAGGAATCAATAGTTATGGCGAAGACATTTGATACATTTCTTGATCTAGTATTTGGAGAATGATAAATGAAGACAAAGGATCTTCCTTGACGACAAAGAGAATTGGTAGAACATTGTCTTGGAGAATTTGAACAGTTGATAAGATATTTTTAGTTGCACTTCGATTGTGTGTTGTTTTCGAACTGACCATCATAGATGTAAGAGGAAAACAATTAAGAAATCAGTTTCTCTTGCTCATGGTCCTAATGTATAACGATTTCAGTGGCATAACCGAAAACTTGAAAGAGTCAAAAGAGAATTTGTGAGAATAGGGTGACAATTCCCATAAATAGCGTAATTATTTCATACTATAATAAAAATGAATGTTTGGTTGAAGACAACAACAACGATGGAAATTTTAATTTAATGGTTATGGTTCTACGTTGATTAGAATGGATATCTACTAAATGATTAACATTCCAAACTCAAGACAATATATGAATAAGATAAAACTTCACGAAGTATAAACAAAACAAAAAATTTGAGTGTGACTTAGAGTCACACATATATAGAAGAGGATGTTATAATTGCCCCCGATTTGTCCGACATAAAATGCGGAGAACCATTAAATGCATATTAGAGGTCTACATGAAAGGATGAGTGTGCTTGTGTATGTAGCATGTAGATGATAGTCCATTTGTTCATTAGTAATTTCTGTGCCCTTATTGAATTTGACATTTGAGTTTGGTTGGTCTTAATGGGCCTTTGTGCGACCCAAAACAATTGGAGTTTATCAAAAACATTTCAAAATAAGAATTTCTTAATGCACCTTAAATGTTTCTTAGGCACTTCATAAAATTAAAAAAATATTTTAAATTTTTAGAGATGTATTTCTGAACGCACACAAATACACACGTTTCATTTGTTTTTGAGTCACAACCCAATTTTATAAATAAATTTATTCTAAAAGTACAGCTTTAAAAAATTTCTAAAAATTTATTTAAAAAAAATAAAATATTTTCGAAAATATATTTCCAAAAACTTACTATATCTTTAGTGGAAGAGTTTCGACTTGAAGCAACTAAAGAAGTCAAAGAATCTTGATGGAGACAAGTTCGGTTAAATAAATCCCATAAATGAAGGGATCGTTTTCTTGTCACACCTGTCACCAGCATCAATGTCCAGCACTCGTCACAATCTACCTATGTTGCACTTGCAGATGACCCCGTCATCATGGTAGGCATTGCTCGTGTTCCACACTTTGTGTAAATCTTCTCAAATGGAAGCAAAAGACAGAAAATGGAGATATCATAAGATCTTTACTCATATATTGTGTCCATAGTTTTAAAATCTCCAAGATTTAGAACCATCTACAACACACATTTTATACAAATTAGCTATTTTTCACTCCAAACACAGAAGCAAACTTATTTGAATTGAGACTTAAATATCAATAAAAGGTGTTCAGTACAACTGCCACAGCTAACTATGCAACCAACACCTACATATTTATATTAGAAATATTGACTGAAAATTTGTAGTAGAAAGAAGACCATTTATACACATAATAATTGCAAACAAAAGTGTTTGAGCATCCCTTGTGGAGCTGCACCAGATATGTTTTCCTGTTGAACGGACACTCCTGATATATTTTTTTAGTTTCTAGAAATACATTTTTGGTAATATTTGCATCCGAAGATGATCTTCGAAAATTAAAGACATTTTTGAAATTTCGCGATGTGCCTAAAAAAAATATTTATAATGCATTTGTAATACTTTGTTCTTGTAGATGCATTTTTCCACTATATTATTAACTGAATTGTAAATATTCTGCAGCTAGCAATTACACGTTAAGTCACTAATGTATGAAGCATCAAGATATACATATAGACCTTCAAAATCAGATGAACGCTCCAATATTTTTAAATCAGAACCATTCTGTTTCTCTCAAGAGCTGAATATGACAACAAATTTCTCATATTTCCCGGTGGTTTTGCCCGTGTTGGACTCCGACAGGGTATAACATTAAACGTTCCAGGACGCGGACAAGTTCTCTGAAGAGAAAAGAATTTCACACACTCCTCCATTGGTCTTTGATCAGGAAGATCGAAAATACAGTTATTCTTCACATCAAGCACACCATTTGTTACAAGCTTTCTGCATAATGGACCCAATCTGTTAAAATAGTTATAAGACAACGTTAAATTCGACAAATTCTCCAACGCGCAAACCACTTCCGGAACCTGGCCATACAGCATGTTCCTAGCAAAGTTTAACTCTTCCACGTTCTTCAAACACGCAAACGACCACGGTAACGGACCTGTTAAAAGGTTACTCCCCGCGTCGAAAAGTTGGAGGTTTTGAAGGAATCCTATTTCGTAAGGTAAACAACCTGTTAACTGGTTGTTTAATAACAAAACTTCGATCAAAGTGGACGAGGCTTTTCCTATGCTAGGAGGAATCGGACCGGAGAATTTGTTGTTAGCGAATGTGATATAAGATGCCGTTGTTTCGCCTATATTGTTTGGAAGTGTGAGAAGAAAGTTATTGTTATTGAGAAAAATTGCATCCAATGGTTTGATGAAGATCTGCTGAGGAACTGTTCCGGTGAATTGGTTGAACCTAATGTCTAAAAACGAAAGTGTTGCCATGTTTAGGATCGAGGTTGGAAATGTTCCAGATAACATGTTGTTACTGAGATCGAGTTCGTATAGATATTTAAGCGATGCTATTTTCGGCGAAATGGTACCTGAGAAATTGTTGGAGTTTGCATGGAAAAGAGCTAAGTCAGGGAGTTGATCGATGAAATTGTCGAGAGACGGTGCAGCGAGGTTGAAGCCGTTGAAATCGACGGAGGCAACTGTTGTCGCAGATCGATTATCCGGCGGGTTATCGCAGTAGAAGCCTTTGTAGTTACATATATCAGAACCAACCCATGTTGAGGTTATTCCTAATGGATCTGAGGTTATTGTGTTTTTGAAGGCTTGAATGATTGAGAAAACTAATTCGAGTCTTTGATCTACGAAGTGTAATATGTCGGGGACTAATGGAGATAATATTGGAGATAATATTGGAGATACTATTGGAACATCAAGGATCTGAGAATTTACTAAGTGGAAACAAAGAAGGAAGGTGATTGAAAATGAAAGCGGAAGTTGATAATGTTTTGATGAAACCATGTTTCAATGGGAAATGGACATGAATGGATAGAGAAGTTGGTTATATAGTGGCTAGTAGGTGGTGTTAGTTTTCAACTTTGATGAAAATGAAGTGATATACAATTTCTTGTTTTCTTGGTAGTGGTGTGATTATTAAGAATGATTTGAATAATGGTCCACATTCAGCACTCATAAGGTGCTACCCACCATGACTTTGAGTTTGGAGATTTGGTAAGTAAGCATTATGAGCACACCACTGACTTTAAAGTTCAAATGGGAACACAAGTAATATGTTGCGGCGAAATTTGATGATTAAAGGGGAGCATGTGTGCATTACATGATTACAACATAGACACATACTTGAAACAAACACATAGTGTACATTGGTTTTGAACTATCTAAACCACTCAAGAAAAGTAATGTTTGTATACTTTAAATATCATATTTCTTATTCTAAAGTGAATCATTTATTTTGTACTATAACATGAGCGATGAAGCTACACAAGCTTTTAGAAGCTGCATTCAGAAGTTCAACACTATAATCATGTTATATCATATCTAACCTAAATTAAAATTTGTTACAGTTAGTTAGAGATTGTTATAACTAACTTGATTAATGAATGAATACGATTTTACTTCCACCTATCTCTTTTTTTCTGTTTTTATTCATCTTCATCATGATTTGTAAAAACTTCATGATGAAATCAGAGTTTTTTCTAGATTTGTTGTGCATTGCTTTCTTCTAATGGTTTGTGGTGGTTCCAATATTGGAGCCAACATATCGGTGCTCCGATTCAAGATCCATTGCAACAACTTGATAATATGTACTATGTCCATCCTTCATATGGAACTTTTTTTTTTTCCGGTTAAACTTGTGTTAACAAATTCGAATTGTCATGCATGGGCGAAATCCATGCGACGTGCACTAGGAGGAAAGAACAAATTTGATTTCGTTGATGGTTCTATTACAGTTCCACAGGAAATTGATCCAAGTTTTAAAACTTGGAATCACTACAACATTTTAGAACACACATGAATTATGAACTCAATTGAAGAATCCATAACACAAAGTATTGTTTTTCTTGAAAATGTCATTGATGTTTGGAATGAATTCAAGGAGCGTTTTTTATAAGGTGATTACATTCATAACTCTGAATTACAATGTGAAATCTTTGCTTTGAAGCATGATTAACGATCGATTTTTGAGTGTTTTACAACTTTAAGGTTCTTTAGGAAGAACTTGAAGCCTACTTTGCTACTCCTATATGATCGTGTGCGCATCGTTATGTATGCAACACATGCTTGGGAAATGCTAAGCAACAACATGAAGTTACACGGTCAATTTGATTTCTTACTAGCTTGAATGACTCGTTTGATATTCTTCGCTCTCAAGTCTTGTTGGTGAATCATTTACCTAACATTAAAAATATTTTTTTTTCCTATGGTGATACAACATGAACGACATATCAAAGTCTTGATTTGTGATGAATCCAAGATTCTCATTAATGTTGTTGATTACAAGAAGTCTCAACGCAGAGGGCGTGACAATGGTTTCTCATCCTTTGGAAATAAGAAAGTGTGCACATAATGTGGAAGAAATGGACACATAATTGATAAATGATATAAGAAGCATGACTTTCCTCCTCACTTTAGAAAAGGCAATGTTGCGGCTAATAATTCTTCACTTGAAGAGAAAGATGACGTTGATGATTTAAAAAGTTATAAAGGAAATGATTCTTACACTTTCACCAAAGATTAATATGATCATCTTATGAATTTGATGCATTCGTATAGCTCCCTTGGAAATTCATGTGCATCCTCTACCAAAGTGAACATGGTTTCTTATGTTAATCCTTATGTTACATGAGGTATCTCCAAAATTTGTCATTCTTTTAATCATGTTAACATCGAATTATGGAATGTGGACTTTGGTGCTACTGGTCATATATGTTCATCCATGAAGCTTTTTTATTCTTATCAACATATAGCACCTGTTAACATCAGATTACCTAATGATAATATGGAAATGGAAAAATGTTTCGGAACTGTTATTTTCTCACCAGATTTCATAGTGCACAATGCTCTGTGTGTACTGAAGTTTAGTTTGAATTTATTGCCTGTTCCAAAATTATGTTTTTATCTTAATTATTTAGTGAATTTTAATAATGCAAAGTGTTCAATTCAGGAAAAGAAAAGCTTAAGGATGATTGGTTCGGCTGATTTAGTTGAAGGAATTTATTATCTTGACATCACACAACCCTCACATCAAGCCAACATCACCATATCACAAGTTCCACCTTAATCTACCTTTATTCCCATGACAACTCTGTGGCATTTCAGACTAGACCATTTGTCAAATATGGGACTTAATAGTTTACATTAACACATGCATTTTGTAATTATAGACAAGAATTATGTTTGTGATATAGACCATTATGAAAAAAACAGAAAAATTCATTTTCAACATAGTGAAAATAAAGCTACTCAATGTTATGATATGATCCATTTTAACATTTGGGGTCCTCGGGCTATTCCATCCATACATGGCCACAAATATTTCAAAACTGCTTTTGATGATTACAAAAGATTTACTTACGTTATTCTTTTTTAAATAAAATATGAAGTTACTCATCTTGTTCAAAGATTCATACTTATGATTGAAAACCAATATAACTGCAAAGTTAAACTTGTTATGATAGATAATGGTTATGATTTTCTCATGCCTGGATTTTATTCTTCAAAAGGCATTGAACATAAAACTAGTTGTGTTGAAACCCCTCAACAAAATGGGAGAGTAGAAAGAAAACATCAGCATATTTTAAATGTAGAAAGAACCTTACTTTTTCAGTCTAAGTTATCTTAACAATTTTAGTCCTATGCCATTTTTCATGCTATCTAACTCATAAATCACATACCCAGTCCTTTACTTCAGAGAAAATCACCCTTCTTTCATAGATTAGGAATTGAACCTCACTTGACTAAGTTAAAATTTTTTGGATCCCTTTGCTATTCCACCACCTTACAAAACCATAGAACCAAACTGGATTCTAGAGCTAGAAAGGATGTTTTCTTAGGATACAAGAAAATATCAAAGGTGTTGTAATTTTTGACTTAAATACCAAATCCATTTTTGTCTCTAGATATGTTATACACCATGTTCATATTCTTCCTTATTCTAACCCAAACCTACCCTTCAGTTGGACATATCACCATGATCGTAATGTTCATATTGACATTGTCATAATTCCTACTGCTACTGATCACCAAGCCACAATTCTTATTGACCAAACTGATCTTGACCATACATTAATACATAATGGTGATACACCTCAATACGATATTATCTCTAGTGATACTTCTCCTGAAGCCATCAACATTGACACACATCAACCTGAAACCATTCCTGAGCCACATATTTTGAAAGATCTAATAGACATTCTCAAAAGCCTAGCCATTTATCAAATTTCATATGTAATCTTTCAAAAAAATCAGTTGATCATCATTTTCAGGTATACTTCATCCTATTAAAAACTTTCATTCATTAAATAATGTGTCTACTACACAACATAATTTTGCATTTGTGCTAGCTGAGCCAGATAGTTACAAAGAGGAAAGCAAGCATGAATGTTGGGTCAAAACCATGAACTTTGAGCTAGAGGCTTTGAAGCATACCAAAACTTGGATTTTTGTTGATCCTCTGCCACATGTTAACCTATTGGAAGCAAATGGATTTACAAAGTGAACATAAAGTTAATGGCTCCATAGAAAGATACAAAGCAAGACTTGTAGCTAAAGGTTATAATTAAGTTGAGGGACTTGATTTTTTGGACACATTTTCACATGTGGTAACACTACTACAAAAAGCGCTTCTTACCTCGGACGCGAAATGCATAATACCTCGGCTATAGAAACAAGGTAACGAAGGGCGACATGAAAACTCACAATTTATCACCTTGGCAAATTAAAATCGAGAGGTAAAGTTAAATGCACATGGATTCGAAACCCAGCAGCGATACTTTTATTATTTCCAAAACTAGCGTATCTTTCATCTCAGTTTATCTTGAAAATCGAGGGATATGATTATTTATTTATTTATTTATTTTTAAATTGTTACATTATTTATCCAGAATATTACATTGTTTACCAAAAATATTACATTGTTTACACATAATATTACACTGTTTACACAAAATATTACAAGGTAAAAATCAAATTCTCCGAAGATCTAGATCTTAGATCTTTAAATTATTGAATCTCGGGGAAGATCAAATATTGAGTGCAAGATTATTCTCTACGGATCTTGCATGCATTTGTTTCTGAAGCAAAACAAAATAAGGGTTAGATAAGTAAAATGAATATTCAAATATATGATTTGGTGCTCAAATAAGTATTTAAGAAAACAAACCTTAAACTCAAGTAACTTTATGCTCTTGCAATCCATCTTAAAAACTTTTCCAAACATCTTTATGTTTCAAGCGCTTCATGTTTCATGTAGGTTATATTTTCAATATTCAACATGCTTTTATAACGGATGTCCCTTAGATTTCACGCAGAACACTAATGACAGATTCTTGAACGTTGATAAACAATAAGTGGACGGTAAAGATTTTTTTAAGGACGATGAATATAGTAAAAAAAAAAAGCTTAACTATCCCGTCGACCAAGAAGAAAACCAAGGTGAATTTTTATTTTACATGTCCAAGTCCAATGCAAGATGCTAGATATCTGTTTTCAAATGAGAATTTTTATTTTCTGCACTTGCAATCCATTCCAGAGATCTGTTTAATGAGTGCTTTTATAGTAAAATATGATTACTAACCACCTCAATTTTACTATAAAACCGAGGTTTATATCTTCTACTTTTAACTATCACCTCGGTGTTATAGAAAACTGAGGTGCTGAGGTGCATAATTCTTTTTTTAAAATACATTGTTTACACAGAATATTAAAATACATTATTTACAATAAATCTTAGGTGATATCCAAATTTTTATGCATATCCATTATAACAATTTATTTTT